TAAAGATAAATATAAGTAAAAAAGTAAAGTAAATAAAAGTAAGCATAGATTATAAAAAAAATAGTATAAAAAAAAGATTGTAAAAAGAAATATATAGTATTAAAAAAGTTAAAGATAAAAAATATTGTAAAATAAAACATAATATAGAAAAGTATAAAAGAAAGTATAGTATAGAAAAAAGTATAGTGTAGAAAAAACATAATATAAAAAAATATAAAGTATAAAAAACATAATAAAAGAAAAAGTATAGTTAGAAAAAATATAGTATAAAAAGAAACATAAGTAATATAAATAAAGGTAAGTATAGTATAAAAAGTATTATATAAAATATTATAAAGGAAAACATACTATAGCGGCAAACTGTACTACTGGCATAGGGTTAAGTTGCCCCCCGGGGCGAGAATGTATATATTGTATATGCCATTAAGGCTTACCTCTAGGGGCAAGAAGTCCTAGCCCTTAATCTATTGCCTCTAGCGTCTAGCTTAAAGGCTTGCCCCTAGGGGCAAGAGCCGCCTGCCCTGCATCTATATGCCTCTAGGCTCTGGACTAAAGGCTTGCCCCTAGGGGCAAGATCTTTCTCTACTATGTCCTTGCATGTAGTTTCTGTCTAAAAGGCTTGCCCTAAGAGGGTACAAGCTTCCTGCCCCTAGCATCCTTACCCTTTAGAGTAAGAACTAAAGTGGCTTTACTAAAACAAATAACTGCCTGCGCTTCCTCTCTGTTCTTAGACTTACACTTTATAAAACTAATTTCCTCTCTGCCTTCTCTTTGCCTTTTCTCTTCCTGCTATCTTCTTATTTGCATTTAACACTAGACCTATTGTAAAATAAAACGCTAAAACCTATTAACCTCTAGTAAGGGAAAGAAGAAGCAGTGTTGTTAAGAGCCTAAGTCTAAAGCTGTAGCCCTTAAGAAGATAGAGTTAGTTTATAAGCTAGCAAAACTGTATTAACTAGCAACAGCAAAATTCCTAATTAATGCACTTACCCTAGAATAGACTGTTAGCAGAAACTAATCTATTAACAAGGCGCACAAGCAGTAGCTTTATAAGATATTTAGTAAACAAGGCGTTTTTTAAAGGGACCTAGGTCATTAACTTAGAATAGCGTGCACTAAAGAGCAGGTGAAGAAGATGCTAGATTATCTTAGCTAGGAGCAGGCGCAGGATGGACAGGTTGCCGCTGCAAGAGAGGATATGCAGAGAGAGGAGTTTAAGTAGCCTTCATTTAAAGATTAGAATATAGTAGTAGAAAAGAAGGCTAAACTTATAGCAGGCAATTATAGAGTAGAGGCTCTAAAGAAGTGCCTACAGCTTTTAGGTTACAGCAAGAAAGAGTAATAGTGGATTTGCAACATTTACAACAAAGGTTAAAACCTGCCCTTTCTAAAACAAGTAAACTAATGCAAGCTAATACAAAACAAGACGCACTGCCACTGCATCTACGCACTAAGCTTTAGGCTAACTAAGAAGATTTAATTCTGCCTAACAACTATAGCTAGATATAGACAGAGTTAGCAACCTTGTTGTCTTTAGATAATACACTTTTCTAGGGCCTAAAGACAAAGGTAGAGCGGCAAATGCTAGAACACCTTAGGCTAAGTAGTTAAGTTAAATTTCTAGTAAGGCAACTAGGCACTTTATAGAGGAATCAGAATTAGAAGCAAATAATTACAAGATAGTGCAAATTCTTGCTTAGCTAGGCAACATTTAACATTTCTACATTTAAATAGATGGCGAGCTGCAGGATTAACAATGTAAGTGGATACTACTAAGAGCAATTAGAATCGCACTAAGAGTACAACAGTTCTAGTTTACTATGTTCTACTCTGTAATTAACTTAATATCTTAAATACGTAGTAAATTTAGCATTAACATCTAGTCTAGTGACTAGATTTAGTTAGCAAGTCTCCTGCAAGTACAAAAGCCTGCAGATGTTTAACAACTATTCTACCCTAACCTAGACAACTAAAAAGATGTTACCCTTTGCTAACAGCAAAACCTTTTCTTAACAGCTGGCAACAATGTATACAATAGTCTGTATTAATTTGTGCTTTTAACGCCAGACCTAGGCTTTGCAGACGTCCACTCCCTCCTTAAGACCACAAAGCAGGAGGGGAAGGTAATAAGCATTGTTATGTCCTATGTTTGCTAATAGCTAAACTGTAATCCTGCAAGAGTTAGCAAGCGTAACAACAACAAGCCTCTTATACGCAAGGATTTCCTGCCAGCTTTGCGGGAGAAGTGCGGCGATAATGCAGAGAAGTAGTCTATAAAACTCCAGAAGCGTCTTTTAGGGTACGTTAGAGACAAAGTAAGCAATTTCACTAGCCTAGGAATAGAGCATTACCTACACAAGTACCTAGACAATGCTAGAGATGCTTATGCTAAACAGTTCAAGCATTAGGCATAGAGAGACATGCTAATTCTTGTTGTTAAGTTAGCCAGCCCGCATCTACAGCACAAATGCCTAGTGCAGTTTAACACTAAGGATCCTAGGGAGATAAGCTTAAAACCTGCATCTGCAATTACTTAGGCTGTTTACAAATTAATCTCCTGTATCCTAGAGGTAGCGCAAAACCTAGCGCTAAGAGAGAAAAGTGCAGCAAACAACTTGTGCAAGATAATAGAGCTAGTAATCACTAAGTGAGCTGCAAAGCAATGCGCAGAAGCGTTAGAGGGTCACAGCAAAGAATAGCAGCCATCAACAGTTTAACTAATAGAGGCAGAACGTGCAAAGTACGATGCGCTGCTAGAGGAATTGCGTCCTTCAAGCCCCTTCTTCCCCAGCCCATCATCCGACTGTCAGTCGGTTGCTCTTAGCGAGGCCCATGGTGGAAATGAGGTGGCTGTTTGCGATAGCGGATCAGGCACGCATGAGCCACATAGGGAGCATTCCACAACCCGAAGTAGCAGAGATGATGGGGTGACTGCTAGCGCTTACAGGACAGGTGATTCTCAGCCTCTGTCAGCGCAAGATCTAGGTGCGCCGGCACCGGACGAAGTGCAAACCCTCCCAAGGCCGCGCGGGAGTAGAAAAAAGATGCAGCTGCCGCTAGTAGAAAGTCCTGATAGCAGGGCAAGCGCCCAAAAGCCGGATGGCGAAAGAAGGTTGGAAAATCGTCTATCAAACCGGCATCAGGGCCGTGACCATTCCGAAGTACGGCGGCACATGGCGAGAGGATCGGGGCATTGGAGGCGACGCGTGGCGGCTGAAGCTGGAAAATGCCTCACAGGGGTAGAACACGATGTTATCAGGCGTCGCACGTAAGTTAGGATGCGCTTGGTGCCCGCACGCATGACTGTCTTAAGTTATTTAGGCTGTTGTCACACATTTCTTTTATTTAGTGGCTTAACCCCTAGGGGCCACAGAGGGTCTGTTAAATTTGCAACATGTTAATCTTACAAGTAAATATATATATTTTTATCTTAAAAGAGAGGCTTTAGGTTTTAACATCTTGCTACTACTTTTCTTTTGCTATTTATTTAGAAAATGCAGACAAGTTTTGTTAACAGTGCGTCTGGCGTACCTAACCCTACAAATCACTAGATTTAATTCAGAGAGACTAGCAACAGCTCTCTTAAAGAGGGGCCAACCTTTAGCCAGAGTGTTAATATTAATTTAGAGAGTGACTCTAGCAATAAGGACAGCTTAGATGGCAGAGTAACAGCTCTAGATAGCGCATCGGAATACGAAGACGGGGATTTTGGGGATGACGAGCACGTCGAGGTAGCATCTGAGGAGCAGCGGTGGAAAATCTTTCATGCAAATGGGGATCACAAGCTTAAAGGCACGTTTCCTATCTATCTAGCATGCACAAGCACTATAAGGAGAAGCTAAGAGAAAGTTTAAAAGTCTAGGACCTAATTGCAAAGACAAATTCTCCATCTTTTAATAGTAGCAAAGCGCTTAATATGTTACAAACGCTCTATACAATTAACTATAGGAGTAAAAAAGCAGGTTTAAAGGCCGCAGCGGTAGACAACGAATACCTTCCTGCCTTCTTTCTCGACCTCCTGATAGTCATTGGCCGGCCATTGAGACCTATCACGCGGCCGACTGACCGATTTTTTGACAACATCACCATAAGCTTTAAGAATTGGCGGGCGTCGTACAGTGCTAAGCATATCCATGGACTGCCATTTGACCTAGAACACCGAACTTTCCGACTAGGCACAGCAGCGACAAGAGAAGTCTGGTACATTGTCATGCATCTAGTTGCAACCACGGCTGTTGAGCTGTTGTCGTCGAGGTGCGAGCGCCGACAGCGTCTTGAGAGGTCATCCCAGGCTAGCGCACTGGAGCCCACTCACGCC